AAAAAAAAAAAAAAAAAAAAAATCCCTCAGGCTGTGTGTTCAGGTATATATGAAATCTAAATGAATGCTGTATTTAGACATGGGCCCCAGTCCCAAACTATCTCATCATGTACGCGCAAGGATCCAAAATCCAAAAGCATCTGAAATCCAAAACACTTCTAGCTCCAAGGGTTTCTGATAAGGAATCCCCAACCCATACTTATAACTTCAGATTTGTCCGATCTCCATGCCTAGCTGTGGGAGTGCTGGTTTAGAGCACACCCAGGAATGGCCCATGGTCCCCTCAGGTTGTAGCAAATCCCCATCCCACTTTCTTCTCTTTTTCCTAAAGTTCTGGGGCTGAAACCCAAGGCCCCGTGCACACTAGGCAAGCACTCTGCACCGAGCTGCACGCCCAGCCTCACTTTGTGTTTCAGTGTGGAAGAAGAGACAACATAAAAGTGAACATGGCAGGCCGGGTGGAGCTGGGTGCAGGGTACCTGTCAGACATTCCTGAGGCCTTGGGCCCGGCGGCCAGCGGGAGGAAACTCTCCCCCTGGAGGAGGTCGGGCTGAGCTTTATAGGGCACTGGAGCCCGCAGAGCCCAGCTTATGCAGGCGGGGAGCCGTCTTGCAGTTGCACAACTTCGGAGGAGCGAGCCACCTCCTCCTGGCCAAGCCCCACAGGCATGCAGCCTCCAGCAGGGTGACAAAGCCAGGAGCCGTAGGCATCTGTCAGTGGGACACTTCAGGACCCACAGTCACCTGGGCCTCCCTGGTCCCTGCAAACCCTGCAGCAGGGCTCCCAGCAGGGAGCTCAAGAGTCCAGGGGACCCGACCTCCTGAGTCTCAACATCCCTCCCCTGAGTGGCAAGAGGAAAGCACCGACCTGTCCTGTCCCCTAGACAAGCCGGGGCCCCGTTACTGGGCCGAGTGTCACTGTGCCTGTGCCCTGGCTCCCTGCCTCCCCAGGGCCAGAGCTGAGGTGGCCCGGGGCCCAAGTGGCGAGGCACAGTTGGCTGCACTGCGCTGTACTGCCGTGACTGCCTGTGCAGACCTGGTCCCCTTTGGTCTTCGTCCCCTCCTTCCCATCTGTGACCTGGGGTAATCTACCTGCCTGAGTGTCTGTCACCACCTGAGGGAGGGGAAAGGGCCATGCTCCACGAGGCCGAGATGCTCAGTGGCCTAGGCACCAGATGACCCCCATCAACATGGCCTTAATGACACGAACAGGGAAGAACCCATGGTACCTCCAGGTGAAAGGCCCTAGACCTGCCCAGCCCCCACCAGTAGTGTCTGCTTCAGGTGGCTGGGAGACAGTTCAAGGCCAGACTCAGGCCACTGGCCTGGTTGTCCCTGGGGAAGGCCGCTGGCTGACCCTTGCCTTTGGCCCTGGTCTTCGGCTGGTGTCTCTGGGGGGCAATGGGTGGAAACTTGCCAGAAGGGCCTTTCCCCAGAGCGGAGCTAGTCGGGCATATTGGGGCACATGGCTGGGGTCGGGATGATCCACCTGACAGGGCAGGGTTATTCATGACAAGTGTCACAGGAGGGGGGCACGGGCAGGGACAGGAGCCTGGGGTTGGGACAAGGCTCCCAGTCTGTGCAACACAGGGATCATGAGGGGACCCAGGGATGTGCAGCAGGGCTGGAGGGGTGGCCAGGGAATTCGGGATGGGGAAGGACACCCCCGCCCCGCCCGGGAACTCTGCCCCCCAAGCACCCTGGCAAGACAAGTGATATCGTCAACTTGACGGCACAGAGACCCCGAGTGGTGACTAGTCCTGGGGCACTGTCCTTATCTATAGATCAGTGATGCTTATGGATGAATGTGCTGGAACGCAGGACTCAGCTGGAGGAGGTCAATGGCGTGTGACATGGAGGGTCTATGGTTGCTGACACGCATCCCCTGCTCTGTCTCTCAGCCCCATAAAGCAAACTAGCTCCCCTCTGCCAAGCCCTTCCACCATGACATCTGCCTTGGTGCAGTGACCATGGACTGAGCCCCTCAAACTGTGAGGCTAAGACACCTCTCCTCCAGTAGGGTGTGGGTGCTATGTCCCCGCCACAGAAAGCTGGCTCCTATACTTTCCTTAGGGACCAGAGCCTCAGGCAGACGCCTACAGCAAGGTGAGAGGGCCCAAATGCAGTGTCCCCACCCCTGTACCTGTCACAGACCTCCTTCTAGGTCAGACTCTGCTGACACTGGCAAGTCCCCTGGCCTCGGGCCTGTCCGTTCCCCTTTCCCATGGCTTGGTGTCAATGATGGGGTCCCAGCCATATGGATGTGAGCAGGCAGGGGGTTCCCCAGGACATCCTCCATGGGAGAGGCCCTTTCTCTCCTGCCAGGCATTGGCATTGTGGGCCCTGAGAATGGAGGAGCCCCTGGGCAGAGCCCAGCTCTGGTCTCCTCTGGTGCCCAAAGCAAACTGTTGGCCATACCACTTTTAGGGCTCCTGGCCCTGTGCTTTGCCCAGTTCTAATGCACGCAATTTCTCTGGGCTTTCCTTTTCCTGTCAAATGGGTGAAATCGGGCATCTGCCTCCTGTCACCCCACCCAGCCTGCACCTGAGGACCCAAAAAGAGTCTGTTCAGACCTTTTGTTCCCACCTTGTCCCAGCATGAGCTGCAGCCTGAGTGCAGAGGCCCTCCTTGGGTAACTGCTCGGTACCCTACAGAGGGGACAGAGTGAGGCTGCACCCACAGCCCCTACCTAGTTCCTGGCTGGGCAGAGGGAAAATGAAAAGTATTTCCTCTAAATCACTGTTAGAAGCTCCCTGCTCTGGGCTGTGTCCCGCCCATGTCCTGCTCAGGAACCTTGGGCGCCTCCCTCCACTCCTCCTTGTACCCCACGCCTCACGTTCACACTGTTCTCCAACCTTCAATCTCTTCATCTGTGAAATGGAGCCACAATCCCAGTTATGGCTCCAAGGTGCTGTGACAACAGGAACACATGTGGCCTGGCCTGGCCCCTGGGCCCCTCATCCTCTGCCTTCTGATCCCTGCCCACAGCCACACCTGTGTCCAGGGAGGCTGTGTCCAGAAGGCACACCGCCCTGTGTCCCCACAAGTCCCCGCTCCCCAACACTGCTGGGAGTCATCAAGGGAAGGCGGGAATGGGGCAGGCTCACACCACCCTCCAGCCAGCCCTGTCTGTCGGGGGGACCCCACACCTGCTGGCACTCAGTGGAGGTGCAGGACAGTGGCGGATGGGACAGGAGGTCCAAGTGCCCCTCTGAGAGACCAGCTGGTGGCCTGAGGCCTCCCAAGTTCAATCCCCAGTGTCTGCACCCAACACCCCTGCTGGCTCTTGTCTGCCTGCCCACCCCACCCTCTACACAGAACACACCTGCAGGGGTCTCCTTCCCTGGCCCTGGGGCCTGCACTGTCCTCCGGCTCCTCCCACTTTAGGGCTGGCCCAGGCTCTGGTGACCCCAGCGGTGTGCCTGAACCCCATCCAGCAGGGTCCCCGCCTGACAGGCCCTGGGGTCAGCTCCCTGGGACTCTGGCCTGGGCCTTCAGCGTCACTACCGCTCCTTGGACCTGGGCTTCTCCACCGTGGGAACCCACAACGACTCAGATGGGGCCTGGGATTCGTGAGATATGTACCGAGGCTGTCAGAGGCGCGATGTTCAGGGAACCCTCACCTACTGACCTCTGACACGGAGGCGGCATGGGGAAGACAGTGCCCCCTATTGCAAGAGCCGTGGGCGAGGCGTCCAAGCTGGGCAGAGGGAACAGCCGGCTGTCCCGGGGGAGGATCGGTTGCTACCCCTCCTCCCGTCCCCAGTAGAGAGGGCGGGAGGTCGAGGCACCTGCGCCGGCCTGGGCTCCGGCTCACCGTCACCTGCCAGG